GTAAGAAACACAGGCCATTCCACTGGAGACGCCACATGGAGAGAGAGGCTCAGCTGTCTCAGCCACCAGCCAATCCGCCAGCTGATGTGGTCACATGAGGGAGCCCGGGCAAGAACAGCAGAAGTACCGCCCACCCAATCCCAGTGCCCAGAATCATGGAAAATAGCAACTTGTTGTCTGAAGTCCAAAGTTTTCTAAACATGATTAAGTCTAAGGATGGTTTGTGACACCACAATCAATCATAGAGACTGGACATATGAAGACCGAATAATTGATACGTGTATGGCTACATTGTCCTTGCTATGTGAGGAGATTCTGTATGTATCCACCCCCAACCCAACCCCTGGTGTTTGCCTCCCCTTCTAATCTAACCAAAATAAAACCCAGGTCACAGCCACCTGCACGTGGCCAGCGCCCGCCACCCCTAGCATCACCCGCCTGCCTTTCAGATGGTCTCTGTGCCTCCATGGTCTTTCCTGTCCCATTCACCTTGCAGACCATGGATCTGCAAGCTAACTTGTGGGTTAGGGTTTTGGTTATGGTTAGAAAAAAATATCAGTAAGAAAACAATACTTTGTAACGTGAAAATTATATCAAATTTGAATTTCAGGGTCTACGAATAGTTTCATTGGAAAATGTTCACTTATGTATTGTCCATGGCTTCTGTGTGCTGCAGAAGCAGAGCTGAGTGGTTGTGATGGAAACCAGATGGCCCACAAAGCCTTACCTATTCACTACCTGACGGCCCCGGCTACAGGCCACCATCAGGCTAACCTTTAATCATCTTTTTTACTGTATTCAGTCCCAAACTTTTGAAGACTTCTGTCTCCTCCCTCAAGGGGATGAAACTTGGTGCGACGTCAGATCCCAGGAGTTGGCAACCTAAATTCATTTCCAATGACACGCTATCAGGTAATTATCCATTTGTGTCTTCCCTGGGTTTGTTCTTCTTGACCAGCAAGCCACCTACTGCGATCTAAACCCTCCCCATTCCTCACTGCACTCAGAGCCCCCAGGTCCCCAACCAGGATAGCTTCCCTGCTTTGCCAAATGTTTCCCCAGGTGAATTCTATGGAACATCAGTCCCGAGAGATGGCTCTGGAAAAAGGAAACTACAGACTCTACCCCTTTGAGTCACAATATACGTATCTGGCATGTTCAAGGTTCTGAGAAGTCTTGCAGTAAAGACACCTGTTTCCCTTTGCTTAACTCAACCATTCCCAAACATATGAACCATAGGATACGTTTTGTCTACAGAACACTGGTTGGCTACCAGCATCTGGTACAGCGCCTGGGTTTCAGCATTGGTTGAAAGAATGAAAAACAACAACATTCCACAGAACTAGGAATCCACAGAACATTCTTTAGAAATGCTGCTCAAGCTCTTCCTTCTCTCTCTTCCATCTGAGGTGTCCCCGTCCGTGTTTCCTGTCCCACACATGTAATCTAATCACAATAGCTATCATCCACTTAGCACCTGCACACACTGTGCTAGAGGCCACGTGAGACCCTTGGAAAAGTCATCTCTTTTAATCCTCACGACCACCTCTGAGGCAGGTGTGTTATTCTATCACTGCCATTTTGCCAAACATTAAACCATGGGTCAGAAAATTTAAAATCACTGGCCCAAGATAAAGCAAGTAGAAAAGCTAGAATCCGAAACTACATCCGTCTAACTCCAAAGCTCATGATCTTTCTCCTCCGCCCAAGTCTGCCCCCAGGACACACTGTGACTGACGTGCTGGCTATCCACCTGATATCCCTCCCTGCCTTCCTGCATGCTAGCCGAACCCTGGTTTGTATGAAGAGGCAACAGGTCAACCAAGGCAATGGATCGTGACCCACCAAGCCAATCACAGTGGTGTTGCAACCAGGACAAGTATTTGACCCAGTTCTGGACAAGAAGACATAATTATACATCATCTGTGGGGGTAGGGAGGAGGAGCTGTCCTGGGAGAGCCGAACAAAGATACGGACCAGTTATGCCTTGACCCCTCCCCCAGTTCCCCTCCTTCCTGCCTTGAACTTGGTGTAATGGCTGAAGCTTCAGGGGCCATCTTGCCACCATGAGTAGTTGCAAAGACATCAGCTCTGATATTAACTTACTGAGCCCAGGACATACCTCCAGACTTCTTGTTACATAAGAAAAAGGAGCCATTATTTGATTAACCACTGTGGCCGGATTTTCCATTCCATGCAGCCGAACCCATCCCTAATGGACCCATATGCTTTTCCCCATATTACTTACTGTTTGGACTTAATCATTATTTCACATGTAGATCATTAGCCTTGCCTCCCTAGCCACGAAGTATACTTCCTGAAGGCTAAGCCCTTGCTGTACATTTTTGTTTCTACAGGGGTACAGGCGTGTTAGTAAATTTTGATAATTATCAAGGTTTTCGGGGATAACCGGTTCGATTTAATACGTTAGTGTTTGGGAGCAGGGAGCTGTCGCCATCCCATAGCTGAGAGATGTGTATCTATCTCCAGACAGGTTAGTATTTCTCCAAGTGTCAATATGAAAACATACCTCAGAAACAGCTGAACTGTTGGTTAAATGCAGGTTCCTGGGCCACCTCCAATCCCAACTGAACTAGACTCTCTGGGGTTAGAGGATGGGAATTGCATTTTTAACAAGCTCCCTGGGTGGTTTGGATATACAAAATTTGAGAACTGTTGGGATATAAAAACCCTATGGGTTCCAAGCGTACCTGGGGTTTGGCAGAACTTGGCTAGACCCCGAGTCACCAGCCCCTCCCCAGTGGCCCCACCCCAGCCCTAAAGATCTGGGAACTTGAGACCCTTCCATGGACAATATGGATAAAGCGATTGGCACGCCCTGAGGCATATTGGGACCAGGGAACGAGCGAACAGATGCGATCTCAATCACTGTAACATCCCACCACGCCAGTGTCTCATCCCCCAATGTAAAAGGAAAACCATGCGGCAGAAAAGCAGCAACAGAGCCCAGGGCCGACTGCGACCACCGCCACTGTCCAGGGAGTTGTGGGAGGATAGAGCACGCGAACAGAGGAAGAGACGACTGGAGAAACTTACACACACTAGCGTGGGGTTCGGGCTCAGAGCAGCAGAAGAGAGGCAGGTGGCCCTGTGGTTTATTTGTTTATTTACTGCATGTGGCTCTGAAGAGAATCATACCTTGGGCACTGCTCAGACCCAAGGCTGGGTCAGGGCATCCCACACCTTTTCTTCCAGCAGCAGAATCCTAGCCCAGACTGTTCTCCCAAAGCTCCGAGAAAGAAAATACCTGTGCCTCCCAACAGAATTTCCACTCCTCAGATCCCCCCTGACATTCATCTTATTTCATTTCTAAGGATCATTTTCCCCGATGACAGGTGCACAGAGCCATGTATTTCCAGGGTAGCAAACAGGATATTCAACACACACACACACACACACACACACACACACACTTTCAAAATGATGACCTTTCTGCCTGCTGACATCCAGCCAAATTCAAAACCACGGAGGAAAAAGAAAGACTTAAAAGTGAATCCGAGAGAGGTGGTCATCCTGACTACACCGGGGAGGGAGGAGGTCCAGGCCTCCGAAGGGCTAAAAGATTCAATTAAGGGCTGAAGAGTTCAGGCCTTGGAAACTCAGGGACTGCCAGCTAGTGGGAGTCCCCAAATCTAATCAAGCCATGTGGCCAGCGGGGCTGGTCTGAGGAAGGGCAGTGAGCCCAGCCCTTCGGATGTCTCAACGACCTGGATGCCCAGTGACTCTGTGGACACCAGGCATCGCCTACGGCTCCTGAAACCTTCCTCCTTTGACCCAGTGGCCTTCGGAAGAAATAACTGCTGCCATCTTCTTTCTGAGCAACTTTGCATCCACCCTACCCCGCCCCCCACCAAAGTGCTTCGAACTCCCCCTCAAGTTCAGTTGGAGAGAATGTTACAACAGCCAAAGGTAACGCCTCCATCTCCACCTTTCCTCAGGGTCCCACCGCGATTCAAGAGTATTTTCCCACACCACTTGTGTGCTGATCCGGGCATATTTTTCAAAACCTTTTTTTACACATTTTAGGCCTGCAGCAGCTCCCTGCATCAAAGTAATTCGATTGAAAATGGGTAGCTCAATGGGGATATTTTTAATGCATCTTGCCTCCTGACATGTCTATCACTGAAAAACAAACAAACAAAATCCAAGGAGCAAAAGGGGGGCTGGGACGGAGGCGGAGAGAAGAAGAGGTCCCTATTTCTAGGCAACCCCATTCTGCGAGCAAAAGCCACCTTTTGACCACCTGCAGAATGCGCAGGATCACGTGGGTTCTCTGCAGCGCCTTAATGTCTTACCCAGCACACAAGCCCCCGTGGCATATAAACAAATCCACAAGCGGAAAAGACAGAGAACTCACTCCTCGGAGAGGAAGCGAGTGATAATAACGGCCGCAAAAATAATATTAAAGAAAGAATAACAATTACTACTACTACTACCACCACCCAGCCAAGCGTAGACGACACCGGTACAGTAAAGGGACATCCTTTGCAGGCTTTGCAGGAAGATAAATCACGGAAAACCACCTCGCGCCCCGCTCGCTACCCTCCCGCCCCCACCCCGCAACAAACAGAATCAAAGGAAAGGGGGGAGGGTGGGGAGAGAGGGGAGGGGAGGGGAGGAAGGAGGTTTTGCATTGACAGTCATTAATACAACTGGTTTGTCATTTTCTTTTTATGCTGTTTATCAAATTCTGTGGTGACTCCGGTGGGCTTTATAAGAATAGCTCAAAAGCTTTCCTTCTGTATCTGTCAGGTTCCAATCGAAAGCACAGAAACCACTCAGGGCATTTCAAGCAGAAGGGGCTTAAACTAGGAGGTTGGGTCCCAATTTATTGGGAAGGGCTGGAAGGGCACAAAATATGTTTGTTTCACGCTGAAATCAGGGAATAGGGGAGGCAGCTGCAGCCCCTGAGAGAGAAATATCCCTGCCTTTGCTTGGCCACCACAGCCCCTGGCACCCCCGTCGCGAGCAACACCTACCTCCAGGGTCCGGATTTCTTTTTGTGTGAGGTCGTTGGAGGTAGCACATTTGGTCCTAAGCCCTTCCAGGTTGGAGATACTCAGGTCTATCATGTTTTGGACCAACTCGCACTGCTGTAAGGCTTTTTGCAAACTCAGAGGCTGCTGCTCCTCGCTTTTCGTCATGTTTTCCTCATCCATCGCTTGCTCTGCAAGCCCCCTTCCCCTCCTCCTCCTCCTCCCAGAGAGAAAAAAGGGGGGCGAGGGGGTGTAGAGGTAGCCTACCCCCTACGCCTTTCCAACCACTGCGACTCCTCAATGTCTCATGAAGAAGAAACCTAACATCTCACACAGGGTTGAGGGGGTGGGGTGGGAGGAGGGGACAAGAGCCAAAATTTATTATTTTATTTTGGGGTATCAAGCCGACTCCATTAGAATGTCTCCTCTCTCTCTCTCTCTCTCTGAGTCTCTGGTCCCTGAAAAGGAGAGATGCCGTTTCTCAGAAGCAAACCAGGTGATGTGATGCTGTCTGTACACTTAGGGAGGAGGAGGAGGAAAACGAGGAGGGGGAGGAGAGGAGGCGGAGGGAGAGGCGGAGAAGAAGGGAAATAGCGCTCACTCTTTACACACCGGCTCCGTGGAGGGCAAAATTATGTATTTTTGGCTGGCTGGCTTTTATGTAAAAAAAAAGGAGAAGAAATCTGGTTTGCCCCCTCCCAGTTGCAGTGACACGGCATCGTCCACCGTTTGGGGTGCTTTAGCGCGTTCTCAGGGAGCTGCCTGCATGGCTCCCGCGGCTGCGGCGGCGACTGCGGCTGGCGGCTGTCTCCTCC